ATTTGACTACATTAAATCGATTTAGACTCTCTTTGAAATAGAGAGGAAAGAAAATATGGGAAAAAGAAAAATAAGAAAAGGTTGTATTATTTTTCTTCTTAATTATTTTTGGATTGAAAAGAAAGTAAAATCGGTGAAAGAAAATAAATTATTTTTTCTCTTATTTAAAAAGTTCAAATTAAGCAATAAAGAAATATCATTCTTGTAAATTTAAATTTTAACCATAATTTTTACTTCACACGTGGGTAATTAAGTAATTTAATAGTGAGTAATTTGATTTTGAACTTATAATTATAATTACATAAATGTTAACATTTATAAAAATACTTAGACAAATATAACATTCTAAGTACTATTATTTAACATGGTCAAAATTGTATAATTCTTTTAAAGATAAGCTATACTATTTTTTAAGTAATTTTTTTTAACAACATTTATATTTCATATCAATTAATTATCATAAAACAATTTCATTATATTAATAATTAGGTAACTATTTATTGTACATTTAAAAATTTTAAATAAATAAAACATGTGTAAACTTATAATAACATCAAAGGGTCTCAAGTACTTTGACTTAATTTAGTGGTGGGCCTGAATTACACAAGCCTAAACCATAATTATACTTAAATATATTTAAAATAGTCATTGCTTATATTATGAATTAAGATAGATAATATATCAATTTATATGTCACAGCGATTTTTCTAATATTAAATCTCGTATTTAAAATGCCATTTAAAAGGAGAAGCAAATACAAAATTTATTGCATATTAAGACATAGATTAATGATAATTGCGTATACAACTTGACAATCATCTCCGATGTTAAAAAAATATATATAAAGTTTATTTTTAAACTGAAAGTTAGAGTATTAGATGTGTAATAAAAGACAAATAGCGGATGTATTCAAATACGAAGTTAACCATATTTTAGTCTCAATATCAAAATATTGTTTAGTTTAGCTATTCATACCGGTTGATAGCTAATGAGTGATGGTTCTATTTATACCAGCTGATAGCTAGTGTAAAATGACTATTAAGAGTATAATTTTATAGATGGTGATATATAATGTATATATTTTTAAAAAATTAAAATATAATACATTATATCAATGAAATATTAATTAATATTTTAAAAAATAATATTTATAGAAAATTATTATTTTTATATAATTTTTAACAAAATAATAAAAAATATTAATTTTAAAAAATAATGTTATTAGTTATTATTTTTATAATGTTAATGAAGCCAAAATATAATATAAATATAAATTAAAAATCATCTGACATGAAAAAGCTCCAAAATATATCGATAGAATTTATAAGTTGTTGGTTAAAAAACTTACCAAACATTACTAATTTAGCTGTTATATAGGAATCATTAATCAACTGCATAGATAAGATGAGCCAAACGTGGTCTCTAAAAATTCAGACCATATTAATAGAAATCACAAAATATAAAAAATAATAAAAAATAACATGCAAGTGATATTATTATAAAGCTAGTAGAACTTAATGAAAAAGATTCGTAATCTAATTGGATTCAAAAAAGAATAAAAAATATATGGGATTGAAACTAAACCCATTAAAGAGCAGTTACAAACCACGTGTGAGATGGACAGTCTTCAATGTCTAAATAAAGTATTAAAATATATAAACTAATATCAAATTATCAATTACTCAATTATTTAAAAACATTAAGTCTTGTATTAATAATTTAATAAAGAAATATAATGTCATGTTTGTGGCCATAATCCTAATTATTTTCGGAAAATATATTTGGCAAATTGGTTCCATATAATTTTTATTGTAATGGTTAAAACGTCTAAAGTCATTATAGATATTTTATCAAACTACAGTAAAAATTGTGTCAAACCCAAATTAAATCATTAATACGATTCAATAATTTTATTCGTTGCTTAAAATGAAATAGAAGAATTGCTCTATTTTGAGTTTTGTTAAGAGATTCTAAATCTTGTTTGGGATTTTGGTTTCTTCCGATATTGAAAATGGGATTAAAATTTTCCTTTTATTCACAATATATTCAATTTGTTGAACGTAAGTTAGAATGAAGACGAGGGATAGAGGAGAGGTTAAATATTAACTTTCCTTAGTAATTTGATGTACAGCTCACGTGATTTATGGAGTAAATGAGGATTTTGTACACGTGATTATCAGATTAAGCAAAATTAAGAGGCTTACACTACAAATACCTGCAACTATGTGACTGTTGCAAAATCACTCTAAAACGACATTTGTACTTTATGTATACCTTGTTTGAAAACCTTAGATATATTGTTAAACTATAAAAATGACTGAAGAGATATTTAATACGAGACCTACTCATTGACCTTGAATTAAGTTAACACAATAAATCAAAAACTCACCGTTTTGCTCCCTTTCTCCTAACTCAAAATCCCTCTCTTGCAAACCAACATTCATCATCTAAAATTCCAAATAGTTACTGTTTTGTAAGCCAACGATTTACAATAACGATTAAGTTAAAAAAAGCAGTTACTGTTACTGATTTTGTAAATCGTTAACATGTTCTTAACTTCCTCTTTTTAATTTTTTACTCTCTTTTGTAGAGTTTTCTTTTTGTTGAAACGTAGAGCAAGAAGATGTTTATGAAGATGATAAACATAATTGAGTGTAGAACAAAACATTTAGAAAAAAGAAATACAAAATTATGAGTTACAAAGCCTGGCCCATGTTCTGCTTTGCTCTTGTGTAGGTTTCTTTTGAACAATAACATTTCTGCTGTCTGTACTTTGTAATCTTATTTGATGGCATTTTACCAACTAATTTCTGTGTAATTTTTTATGAGGTTCCTAAATTATGATTGTGACATCCCAGGTTTGGGGCACAACACCTTAGGCAAATCCCACATCGGCTACGCACAAGGTGGAAGTCCTATACATATTTCTGTGTATAATATTTATTATGAGGATTTTCTAAATATATAGATATGTGAACATCACCAGGTTTGGGGGCACAACAACCTTTAGACAATCCCACAATACCGGAACACTAACGCACAAGGTGGAAGTCCATACAAAAAGGGGTTGAGCAACCTATGAACATGGAGTAGAACGCGTTTATTAAAACCGAGTAGCGGTAGTAGGGGCAATCCAGAGGCCATCCGAAGACATCGGCTACGCACAAGGTGGAAGTCCTATACATAAAGGGTGGCAACCTTGAACATGGTAGACGCGTTTAAAACCGTGCGGTGTAGGGGCATCCGGGCCATCCGAGGACTACACCAAAGCGGACAATATCTACCTAGGTCATACAGTGGCATATGACATCCCAGGTTTGGGGCATATAGCATACAGTATCATCCAGGGAGACGCGTTTTGGGCTGGCAGAGTGGAGGTTTCCCTGGCCCAGAAACAAAACCGTGCGGGCTTGTGTGGCCCAAAGCGGACAATATCTACTATGGGCTGGGCTATTACAATGATTCTGTTAACATTTTTGAAACCTTGTAATCACTAATTAGTTCTTGAAAATAGAAGTTCTTATATTTTAATTTGATTATAATTTAGAGACTAATTTATTTTTTCTAAAATATAGTAAATTAACTAAATTGAGATAATTCTATAAATTAGATTCTTCTTATTATTTAATTTAATTTTGAAAATTAAAATAAATGAATAATAATGTACGTAACTTAGGAGAAATGCAAAAATATTCGTAAAATCTACCTTTTATATTTTTTACTTGTAGTATCATACAACACCATATAGGAACTGTTATTTACCCAAATACAGGCATTGTTTTACTTTCACTTTTTTACTTTTTAACTTTCCTTGTCGGGGCGAGGTTGAAGAGTGGGGTGGAGTAGATGTAAAATCTCAAACAATTCTGACGCTTCAAACGCAAGCAAAGAAAGGTGGATGAGCTGGCGCTTTCTGAAGAGGACCTTCGCACGTGTGTTACGCGTTGTCTCTTTTAATTACATGTGTACTCAAGCCAAGAATATATAATAATTCTTCTAATACTGCATAAAATTGATAGTTTCACCCTGTTACAAGTTAAAAACCTGTACTTATCAATTTTGTACGTTATATTTAATATTCTCAGAAAATAAAATATTTATGTTAAAATTAAAAGATTCATTGAAAAATTAATATTTTCTTGTTATCATAATTTTAAGTATAAAATTTTTTTAGATAATAAATTGAGTAGAGAATAAATTTATTGTTGCAGTAACTCTTTATGTAGTGTTTTGCATTTTAAAGTCTATCATATAAAATTTATACTAGTATTCAAAGTTTGAAGGAGCAGATTAATTTTAATATTTTATACTAACAAAATACAATTGAAAGCTATTAAATAACTAACCGTTGTTACAATATTTAATTTTGTCTACCATAACCTAAATTTTATTAAAATATTTCATACTGTTTAGAAATTAAAAATATAAAAATATTAAAGATTAATCATGTAATTAATTAGTTCGAGCCATTTTGGTACTAATTGGACCCTGCTAGAATATCAAATTTCAAACTGTCTATATATGTATATATATATATATATATATAAAGTTTACCAAACTGTACTATATAAATGAATATATATAGATATATAATATAAATAAATAAAATTTATTAACATAATTCATAAAAACTTTAGATCCCAAATGAGTCTCTATATAATTTTTAATATTCACAAAAAGCAAAACTATAAATTAAAACAAAACGAAAAATGAGTGATATAAAAAGTAAAAATATATAGAGGTGGAAGAGAAAGTCACAATGAGAAGGGTAGAATATTTAAATATATAAGTAGTTAGGAGTTGGCCAATATTGCTACCCTTGATATATAAATTTATTACATAATTCATAAAACATTTGTCCCATATGGTCTCTATATATTTTTATATTCAAAAGCAACTTAAATTAAAACAAACGAAAATGAGGAATAAAAAATAAAAATATATAGAGGGGAGAGAAAGTCCATGAGAGGGTAGATTTATATATAAGTAGGTAGGCAGTGGCCATATGCTACCCTTGTCATCTCTGTGTGCCTATCTTTTCAAGAATCATCACCTCTCAAAGCTCTCTCTTCATTTAGCAATTCCTCTATCAAATCTTTTGGGTTTGGAATAGAGAAAGAAAAAGAGAGATGGGGAGGCAACCATGTTGTGACAAAGTTGGATTAAAGAAAGGGCCATGGACAGCTGAAGAAGATAAGAAACTCATTAACTTTATCCTCACCAATGGCCAATGTTGTTGGAGAGCTGTTCCTAAGCTTGCAGGTCTTTGATTCCCCATTTCTCTCATTGCATGTTTCCATTCATAAACAAGAGATATTAGTAACTCTTTCTTTCTTTAATATTCTTGGGTTAAAGGCCTCTTTAATTTTTTGTTTCTTGAATTCTGGAATTTCTTGGGATTCCTTTGGCATTAATATTAAACTTATATATCTCTGCACCATTTTCTCAGTATTATATGTTTTTAGTTTCAAGATTTCAAGCTTAGAAAAGCAGAAAAATTTCAAGATTTTCCTTCTTTTTAGGCTCTTCCAAGAACGGAAAGGAAAGGAAAGAAAAGAAAATGAATTGTTTGCTAATGAGTTAAGGGTAACTGTGTGATTGCAGGGTTATTAAGGTGTGGAAAGAGTTGCAGATTAAGATGGACAAACTATTTAAGGCCAGATTTGAAGAGAGGTCTTTTATCAGAATATGAGGAGAAAATGGTCATTGACCTCCATGCTCAACTTGGCAACAGGTCTCTCTCTCTCTCTCTCTCTCTCTCTCTCTCTCTGTGTTTCAAAGTTGATTTGCTTCTTCTCAACTTAAACTCTTGTCTTTACTTGGGTTGTTAAAGTTTCACTCTTGAGAACAGCTTCAGGTTCAAAATAAAAGAATTTATCAATGAAAGTCTTTTGGAAGTATGAAACTTTTAATTCATACTACTAATTTATCTTTAAAAAACAAAAAGATTGACTCAAGCAGTTACAACTAATTTACTAATAGACAAGGTTAAAATTTTTAAACAATTCAAATAAATATATGGTCATGGTTAAAAAGAAAAAGAAAATTTTGAAATTATTAAATACTAGAAAATTTATGGACTTGGTCTAAAATACATTATTGTTTAAATTTAATAAAAGAAAATGATAAGTCATTGTTACTTTTGAGTTTGGTATAAAAAAATTTTTATTTCTTTTTTCATCATCATAAGCATGAGGTCCCTTACTTTCCAAGCTCTAGGCAATACTTCCCTAAAATGGACCTTTATCAGCTAGTGGCTATAATACAAGTAAGCCACTCTTGTTTGAAGTGGTCCCAAATGTCTAAATTTAATTATTTTCTTTTCTAATCATTAATCTTTTTTTTTTTTTCCTTTAATGAGATTTTAATTCAGTGATTAAAGCTCATGGGTACTATGAGACTTAAAAAAAGTTTTCCATGTTGAACTTTTAAATTATATTTGTAATTATAATATTTGATTCTACCTTGATAAGTTTGTTCTGCTTTAATAAAACATTTTTGTTTCTTGTTGACAGATGGTCCAAGATTGCATCTCATTTGCCTGGAAGAACTGATAATGAAATCAAGAATCATTGGAACACCCACATCAAGAAAAAGCTTAAAAAAATGGGTATTGATCCTCTCACCCATAAACCACTTCCAACCACTGAATCATCACCATCACCACCACCACCTCCACCTCAAGAACAAGAAATTCAAGAAAAGCAACAATTAGGGGAATTGGACCAAACCAAGAAAATAGATCAAGTGTCTATAAATTCAAGAATCAGTGATGATGAGGCTAAAACAGAGGAAATCACATTATATGACCCAATGGAGCTAATTTCTAATAATATTGGTTCTAATACTCATGATAATAATGATGATGACGGGTTTTGCATAGATGAAGTTCCACTAATTGAACCTCATGAAATATTGGTTCCTTCTTCTTCTTCTTCTCCAACAACAACAACACCTTGTTCTTCTTCATCTTCATCTTCATCTTCATCTTCATCTTCTTGTTCTTATGGGTCAAACAAGAATAATAGTGACAATAATATTCATGAAGAGTTACAATTTCCAGATTTTGAGTGGCCAAACAGTGCTATTGAATTGTGGGATGATGAGTTGATAAGCGGTTGTTGGGATTTATTAATCAATGATGCTGATGCTGCTGCTTCTTCTGTTGATGATCCTCCTCCTCTGAATCAGTGCCCAAGAATGGTTTTGGATCAAGATTCTTGGACATTTGGGATTCTGTAGTAATTTGGAGAGAAAAGAAAAGAAAATTTGATGTGGGGCTTATAAGCTGTAGCTTTGTTTGTTTAGTTGCTAAAATACAAAGGGAGAAAAATAAAGAATCTGGGAAAACCCCCGTCTTTGATTTTAGCCTATTCTTGAAACCATTTTCTTCAATCTTTTGGAGGGAAAAAGTTTATAATAAAAGTGAAAATGAAAAACTTTTGTACATGATGGAATTGTATACTTTCCTTGGTTGTGATTTTTTTTGTCCTTTTAATTTTTAATTTATTACAATAATGATATTTTGTGAATAGATTAGAATTGTTGCATTTTTTTTTTTAATTTTCTTGGATGAAATATGGAGCAGTAGAAAGTAACTTCTTTCTGTCTCTTTTATTCCTCCGCCATTTCTTTAATTAAAACTTTTTTTGTCTGCAGTTTTACAAATGAAAGGGTGTTTATAAGTGATTTAAGTGATAAGAGATATTTGAGTTTAATGATCTGTTTAAGATTAAGAGTTCAACCCGTAAAAAAAATACTTATAGAGAGAGGTAACCACTAATCCAAAAATAAGATTATTTTCATATTCAAAAATATAAAAATACTCATAGTAATAAACGAAGAGATTAAAGGGTATTTACATATTAAGAATATTAAGAATTTGATTCGATCAGTGAATCAGTAACTATGTTTTTAAATATTATTTTAAAATTTTAATAAATATTTTTTATTTATATAATGCATTGAAATAAAAAATAAAATATTCACCTTAAAATGATTTTAGAAAATATACATCAATGAATCATAATATATAAAAAATTATACTCTCTCCATCCCATTTTTATTTGCTTGTTTTTTTTTTTTTTTTTATATTCTACGCTTAAAAATGATTTTTAGAAAATATACATCAATGATCATAATATTAAAAAATTATACTCCCTCCTCCATCCCATTTTTATCTTGCTTGTTTTTTCTCTTTTTTTTTTTTGAAATGTCCCCAAAAACTTTGCAAGTCTTTAAAAATTTGTATACTCTAAAACAACCTTATCACTCTTTTCATAATTAACTTTTATGATCTCTTCCGTTTCATAAATGAATGTTTTTTTTTTTTTTTTGAATGTCCCAAAATATTTGCAAGGTTTTTAAATTTGTATATCTAAACAATTATATTTTTCATAATAACTTTTATGATTGTTCAATAAATGAACGGCTTTTATTAATATTTTAATGAGTTAAGGGCAAAAAATGGTAAAATAATATTTATTGATTAAATTTTTAATATACGTGTTTTGTCAAACCATGCAAATAAAATGGAAAAGAGTACATTTTATATCGTTTTACATTTTAACAACCAAAATTTTACTAAATAGCATTGTTGATCACCTAACTGCTATCAGATTTCAGTTGGTTTTAACAGCTAAACCAAACGAATCTAAACACCAACTCTGTGTTGAAATTTTCTCATCTATTACATTTTTTTAAAGAAAAAAGAAAAACGTAATCGAAATCCATTCAAACCAAAATGAAAATAATAATCAAGAGAAGTGGAGAAAAAATAGTGGGTTCCACATTCGTTCCCAAAGTCTTTCTATTTTTATTTTACTAGTATAGCTATAGTATAATGAGTTGCAAACATGGGAAGCATAAACCAAAATGATAATTGTACAGTTCCATCGATTCGTCAGCTACTATTTTATAGTATTATTAGAGATTAAAAGTAATATTTTTTTTTTTTTTTAAGGGAAAAAGTAATGTTCTTCAATATAGGAAAATGTATATAAGTTGGCAATCAGCAAACAATATTCTCCATTTATTATTTCTAAAAAATATTGTTGTATGCCTGCTTGAAAAAATATTTTCCATTTATAATTTTATGTATAATCATCTTTGTTAAATTTGTAGCAATGAAGTTTATTTTCTTTTCAAAAATCATTTGAAAAGAAATAGCAAGATGTTGTCCATTTATGGCTTCTCACACATCACTCTCAAAAGGCTTCTTGCTCTTGTCTATTCTTATATACATTACTTTACATTGTGTTTAGCTAATGTGAGACTTATCTAATGTAAACTAACATCTCAAGCTAGCACCTCATCTGATGTATATGTTACAAAAAAGAATCCTAATATTGATATAGAGAATGTCAAATTAGATTTATACACTTTGGTAAATTCACGTAAAATTAATTTTTATTTATTCAATAATGGAGAATTAAAATAATATTATTTAGATAATTTTACTCAAAATTGTGTTGTCTGTGAAAGTTAAAGCTTGTGATATGTAATTAGTTAACTTGGGAAGGATACCAGGGATTGCTTTGTCGTGTGTAACAAAACCGTAGGCTGCTAGTAACAATGACACAAGTCCAACTGTTATATTATATACATCATAATTTATTTTAATTTTAATTTGCTTGCCCGCCACAGTTTAATTAATTTAGATTGGATCTTACTAAATTTACATAATATATACTATATTCGTTAGCAATAGAATAGAAACGGGAGAAAAATATACCAAAAAGATAATTCTTTTATATCTTATTAATATTCAATTAATATTAATTAGCGATCGCGACTCAATGAAATTTTTCTTTTTACATACATACACAGCTCATTCTGTATAATAACAAAATAATTCAATGAAAACTACCGGTCAAGATGCAATAACCAAAGCCACCGTACCAATGCAATTACAATGGGAGAGTCTGAAAAATAATTAAATTGGTACTTTACCCTTTAGTTTTAAGGAACAAAATTAAGGGTTTTTATCGAATTAAACTTCGAATAATTCACGTGCGATTTAGCTTATTTGTAGTTTTAATTTTACACACAACATCGGGTAATAATATTGTTCAATAACTTTGTTTTATTTTCCAAAAATGAATTATTTATAAAACTCTTGAAATTATTTATATTGTTTCAAACATATATTTACAGTATTTCCTGAAATTTTGGTATATTCACCTATTTTAATTTTTAATTTTTAATCTCGTACATATATATATATATATTTTTAAGGAAATCTCGGATAGAATAATTGATTAGTATAAATTTATTCAAACAAGAAGAAATAGAATATAACACTAACAAGACAAAGTAATTTTTTTATTCAAATACTTATAATATGATATGAAAATATACCGTCAACGACGACCCTTCGAGTAGTATCTTAAAATTCAACACGTTCAAGTCTGCAAAAGCGTCACCTCAGACTTCTAGATTAGCATAACGCTGACTTTTTAAGTTGCTACTGTGCCTTGATTTTTGCCCCCACAGGGACGTTTTGCAGAATTCAATTATGATTTTATATTTTTAAATTTTAATAAAAGTTATATTTTTTATCGAAATGAAATGTAAAAGTGCAACTCTAAATCTCTTTCTTTATCAAAATGAAATAATTTTGCAAGATTCAGAAGATTAATTTTAAATAAATTATAAATCACAGTGAAGTTAAAAGGACAAATTCAACAATATTCTTTAATTTCATGTAAGTTCTGATTTCCAATATGTGAGTTTAGTATTTAATGTTCATTTGTTGATTCTTTAAAATAAGGCAGAGAGGTAATTGTTCAACTAAAACCGGACGAGATTACAATCACTACTAGTCATTAACAATAATTTAAAAATTATTTTTATATTACATAATTTTATCTCATATCAAAATTATAAATAAAAGAATATGATTTTTCTTTTGAAGTCAAACATTTCTAGACATTTATTTAAAAAATACTATCCTCTCAAACACTACAAATTGAACAAAAAAAATATAATAAATTTGCTAAGAACACATACACAAAACTTTAGGCGTTTTCCATTTGAAAACGACAACAAAAACGCGTTTAGATTAAACAAATGTTGACAAAATCATTATAAAAAAAAAAAAAAAAGCAAATTATCCACTTGGGTTTGGATGAAAAAAAAAAAAAAAAAAAAACGACACAAAAAACGCGTTTTAGATTTAAACCAAATGTTGACCAAAAATCAATTATAAAAAAAAAAAAAAAAAAAAGCAAATTATCCACTTGGGTTTGGATGAAAAAAAAAAAAAAAAGGTGATTGGAAAGTATTAAAAAAAAAAAAAAAAAAAAGGTGATTGGACAAGTATTCGAAGAAGTAAACTAGGTTTGTGGAACCAATTGTTTGAAATTAGGATTGAAATGGACGTCTCCATTACATTAGTGTGAAAGCAAGAAGTTGATGTCTCCAATTATATGCTATCGAATCTTTAACTTCATTTCTGTATTCACACTTTCTTTTTTCCACTTCTTAGGCTCCACTTCCTATTCATATAAAGACTAACAGCTTCATGGTTTTTCTTTTCCTTTTCTGGTAACCCCTAATATGAGCAAGAAACAAAAATGAGTACTTATGTAATTTAAAACTTTTTTTTTTTATTGAAGATGAAATGAATCGAAATAATATTGTAGGTTATAAATAATACTTACTAAATTGATGAACTTCTGTATGAATGAAGAGGACTGCAACTCGAGACTTTTCATTCTCTATATTTTTAGAAAATGTAAAAATATCAATTAGATTACAAATGATTAGCTTGTAGTTTAAATTTTGATATACACCTCTTAAATCTCATTCTATTGTCAATATCAATCTCATCAATATTTAATGAATACAAGAAATAAAAATATTTTTGTGTTATATTAAATACCAGGGATACTGACTCTCGGGTTGTGGCTCAGTTGGTAATATAGGCTAGACATGTAAGAAGAACTTTCGGATTCAATCCCCAGTAAACACATCTGCAAGGAGGGTCGAAGAGTTTTAACTGTGACTAAACTCCAGCTGGATTAAACGGTCCCTAGAACTAGGGTTCGAATACCGATGGTTTACACTAAAAAAATCTTGTGTAATAGGTAAAGTTTATCATCATCCATTTTTTTCATTTATCGAATATTAGGCTGTATTCTGCAATAACTTTTTAAATATTGAAAAATCTTGCTTAGTATGGTCTCATGGGAAAAAAATAAGCTAGTCCAAACGTTATGTTATCAAATATTACAATTAAAATTGTAACAAAATCGTGGCCTTTTGGGAGAAAAAAATAAATAAATATATCTCTTCAATCTAATACTAATTCTGTACTTAAAATTTTTCCCCAACTTTTAGAAATTAACTCAATTTGCAAGGTGAGATTGTTTTCGAAAACTTCAATCCTTAGGATCAATATTCAAAATATGATTTTTAAATGCATAACAAAGTACAAAAGTGTATTTCCCCTTGAAAAAATATATAAAAGTGTATTTTTAAATTTATTCAAACAAGATGTTTAATAAAAAACGTGCAAGCTTTAAAAAAAAC